CACACACACACACACACACACACACACACACACACACACACACACACACACACACACACACACACCCCCACACACACACACACGTGTGTGAACACAAGTGTTAGATAGCCAGTCCCATGAGTCCTATGAAGAGGACTCACTCTGTGTCTGTAGGTCAAAGGAATTAAAATGTGCTGAGRATACAAGCATTAAGCATTACTTGACAAGATTAGAGAGGAGGATCGGCCTAGCAGAATATACTGTAGGGTCTTACCAGGTGGAGCAGTATAATGCACTATCAGGCAGAAATTTGCTTAAGAAGTACCATTTGTAAAATAAAATGTCTGTAGACTCTTATTCTGTCAATCAGAACTAGATTTATTCTAATATTACAGTGGCAATTATAATGCTTAAATGTAAATTCAAAGCACCATTGGAATTATAAATGATAATGCACAAATTTTGCTCCACTTTTTTGTATGCTTTAGCCTATTTAGGTTTAATAATATTAGAAGAGACAAAAGTTTCAAAAGAAGACTTTATAAACAAGCAAGCAGTTTGAGTAATTGTGAGCCTGCTGACTAATGAAGCAGGCTTAAGGAACGCCACATTGGGTTAATTGATTTCTAAGGTTGGATTAAAGGAGCGGGAGCAGGATGTGGGAGTTTGTTTAATGGAGAAATGATTCATTAGGTGAAATGAGATTAGAGGCCAGCTTTACTCGGGAATAAAAACAAGCCAAAGACAACACAAAACTATTTTCCTTGGCTCTAATTAAAGGAACGTATTTGCAATATAATTTCAATTGTGTCGATAATAATGCATTATTAATTATTTTAATAATAGTATAGATATTTTAACAGTTTCAAACATTTTAAGGAATTAAGTGAAATTCTTGTTAAAAAGCTTTTGGTAAGTACAAAGGAGTTAATGTTCATTTCAAATATTAATTGCAATAAAAGCATCTTTTTCCAATAGTTTTGTATCTATAAGAAAAACATCTTAAGGACGTTCACTCTTAAAGACTTGACTTTAATTATGCAATAATTAATCAACAAAATACAATCATTTAATTTAAAATCCATGTACAGCAATGATAAAATAAAGATAAAATTGGTGTTCTTCCTTTTAAAAAGTGGTGCAACAAATTTAGTTTCAAAATTTCACATTTATACAAGTGATGTTCGATACCACTGTTTTCCTTTCTGATTCTGATACAGAGTATAACTCAGGCTGGTATTGGCGATGATACTTGGTGTAAATTCACCTAATGTGTGTGGTAAATCTAAAAACAATTACTGTAGTGCTTCATATAATGAATACAAGACATCAGAAACATTTTATTCATTTTAAACTCAGAAGTATATTGACTCAGTGACATTTACAATATAGCTGTAGAAATAAGAAAGTTGACATATCCTGTTTGATGGGTTTTCAAAAAGACTCAATAGTTGTCATGTATTATGTAAACATTTCAAAATAATTTTTTTCTGCAAAAAGCCACAAAGTTCAATGAGGATACATTAGAGCCATAGTGCCATGAAAACCAGCAGCCAGTCTAACGTTGCCTTTTACTCTGCAAGATTTAATGGGCCACCTTTAAAGAGAACTAATTCTTAATGGGCCATATCTGTGGATCTAACTTAATCTGGTTATTTAGCACGTTAACAGACATATATACCACTTATTCCCTTTCACAGACAGCCCAAAACCAGAATTTAAGAGTTACYAGTTGTTTCTTGGCATTTACTGGAATAACTCAGTCCTGAGGGCAAAGCGGATCTGAAGGACGGCTTTTATTTACTTGATGCTTTAAACTGCAACTAATTCCACACATCTGTTTACGAGTTTTAGAACCATCACRGTGTCTCCTAAATGTTAGAGCTAAACGCTTTCCAGTCATTATTACCTTTCAAAACATGAGAACAGGAAGTTTTGTGCTGACAGCCACGCCAGAGGAGAAGACAGCGATGACCCCTGGCTGCCTGCCTGTTTTCCTCTGCTCTGACAGAGAAGTATCTGCAGATTGAAACGTGGAAATGGCCTTGACAGATAAAACCTGGCAGCCTGCACACTCTTCCTTTAACAAAGGGTTCTCAAAATCTCAAGAGCCTAAATGACAACAGTTTTAGTGAGAGCTGTGTGACCAGACTGATTTTTTATCACACATTTTCCTGCAGTAAAACTATTATAAATGAGTCGGAGACCTTTAAATGCCAGATTCTCCTTCTTTTCATCTTTTTTTTATTCAAAGCTCCACCCATTCAGAACCTATGGAGCGGGACATCTGCAGCTCTGGAGAAACAAATGTATAAGGTCGACAGTTGTGACAGAACTCTGTTTGTTTTCCAAAGACTGCCCGCTGCTTTGTTTAAAGTGGGATAAACCTGGTGCTACCCTTTGCTCACATTAGCCGCCGCAGGGTTTCCAGGACTCTGAGACTTATCGCTGCACAGCTGCACCTGTTTCCTCCTATTTTTGTCTCCCCTACTTTCTTTTCTGCTCACCTCACTGCATCGCCCCCTCTTTGTGTCCCAGTTTCTTTCTCTTTTATTTCTTGTCTTTTGACATTGTGCCTGGCTGTGCTCTCCATTATTTTATATAATATATAATATATATTTTATCTGACAGAAAATAATGCGGTAAAGTCCTGTAACATCGTTCACTGCCAGGCAACATTTGCTTTCAGTTCTCAGTRGTAGGAAACCTAAATTTAGAATGTTCACAAAAACACCAGTGCTGATGCTTTTAACTGGTTAATTATTTTCAAGAGATTTGCCCAAATTGTGTAACAATCAGGTCATATTTGCTCAACCAGCTGTAGGATGGTGATGCTCTACTTTTATGTCTCTGTGATGGGAACAGAGGCAGTGTGTTTTCTGATCTTGTCTCATAATTACACTTAAAAATAAATMATTAGATAGTAGCGTTCAAAAGGCCAATCTGGGTGTGATTTCATAAAAACAAAAAATAGCYGACTGGTATTTGGTACCAATGTCAGTATCAGGCCTCAATACCAGCATTTATATAAGTACTCCTATATAATTCCTCGATACTATAAAACCGATTCCAATACCAGTATCGATACTTCATTAGATGTGTAACAGTTTACATTTCAAGGAAAGAGGTTTTCAGTTCCATGGTTAAAAAAAACTTTTAAAAGTTGAAAGAAAATCTGATTTATTTTTATTTATTTTACAATTTTGAAACAATATTCTGTATATTTGATCTGATCCAGTAAGAGGGGCTATAGGCATAAAGGAGAGCCACTTTGTTCTAAATAAAAGAAACATGTTTTTAAAGTAAAGGTAAGTACTCTGCATCAGCGAGTACACAGACTGAAATACTAGTACTTGTATTCAATTTGAGGAAAAACTGGTATGTGAACACCCCTAACGAAAAAAACATTTTGGAACAGAAGAGTCCTAACTTGAGCCTATCCTCACTGTGTGACAGTAATATACAAAATACCACTAATCTCGTGTGTCTCTTCTGAAACTTTGCTTTTCATATAAAAATTTAGTTGTAATGTTTTAAATATTTTAGATTTTCTGCCACAAAAGTCAGATGGGAACCACAGTGTGTGATCTTTACATTTTATTTTCAGTCAGACTTGCTCAGCCAAACAGATTTAATTCATTGTAGTAAAACACTTTAAAAGTTCCCACTACATGATCACACAGACATTAATGGAAAGTGTTTTTACAAGTTGACAGTATATTACAATTATAAGTAACCACTAATTTGTATTTTCTGTTTTATCTTTACAGTGTCTTGTTTTTAGAAGATTTAAATGTAAATGCATTTTTATCATATAACAAGAGAAATTTGCAATACATTGTCCACTTCTTTGATGGAAATCTGAGATTAAGCATTAGGTGTTGGTCTAAAAACATGCTTATTGCTTTCATAATGGATGCTGAAACTGATGATGAAAGGCAAAAGAATAATAAGAGATGAGCCTTTGAGTATTCTGGATTTTAAATTTGGTTTAAAATGTTCTAAACCAACTCCATTAAGGACCTGAGGTCTTTGTAAATATCTCCAGTGTCACAGTCGAGGAAACAAACCCCATTTTGGTGGAATATTTCCAGTAAATGGATTGTCTAAAGTGTCAACATCAGGTGTGATGTACTTCGGAGAACGAATGAGATGAAACTGAAATTACAGTGACCCTTATCCACAGTGTGCTGCTGATATCCCTGCAGTGCTTTTTACTCATAATTACAGAGGAGGGAATTAAGGATAACATCCTGTTATTAATCTGAGTGCATGCTCCGGCTCACATCCAAATTATTACACACATACCTGTTATGTGGTGGTGTCAGCTCTGATGTGATATAAAATAAGGTGAGACAGACAATGCTTCAAATYATGCTTTAAAGGGATAGTTCTGATKTTTRGCTGATCAGAGACTATTTGAACGATCTCAGTTTGGAAAACAGAGTTTAATTCTGACTGGKTTAGAAAGATAACCTGAACATTGCAAAGACCAAAGTGCTGCTAACAGTTAGTGTTTTATAATTCATGGTAGTTCATATGAATGCTTTATGATGATTTTCCACAACAAGGTTGTCCCCATACTCACCTGGAGTTGTTAGTAAAGATAAATAGTGGTGGCAGCATCTAGTTSAAGCTCCTTCAGTTTAACTTGGAGCACTTCCAGCAGGTGCATTGTGACATTTTCTGTCAATATGATTGAGTAATGCAAAACTGACAGCAGTATAAAGGTTTGCAAATCAGCATTTGCAAAAGCCATAGTGAAATTTAAAAAYWTGTACGTGTTTTGAGATGCCGTCAATCCACTTTTYTCTCAGATTTAAACAGCTGTTTGTTAATCTGGTCAMAATTAATCTCTAGTTTCAAACTMAGGTCWTTCAGAGAGATCTGCAACAATTTATTCTTTGTTCAGAGCCATTTTACAGAACTTTACTTCAAAATGACTGAACTATAAACATTAATTCAAAGCTGTTATTATTATTTTCTTTTAAGTATTGTTTTTTCTTTATGTTGTAACTCCATATTTGTTATCAGTCTTTTAGCAATAATCATAAAACTTTAAATTATAAAATAAAATCTACAACAAAGGAACAAAAAAATTCAAACACTACCAGACTTGATCTCTCTCTCTTTCTGTGCAGAATATGGAGGTTTGGGACTTGACTTTAGCTACAGCGTCGCCGTGGCAGAAGAACTGGGCAGCATCAGCTGTGGAGGCATCCCCATGGCCATCGGGGTCCAATCAGACATGGCCACTCCAGCACTGGCCAGGTCCAGTCTTTGAAACCTATATTAGATACTCTGATTCTACCCTTACCAGTACTCCTGGTATAGATTACTACACTTTGCTCTTAAACCCAAATGTCTTCAGTGAACAACAAAAYCAAAGGAACTGGTCTTGTTGTTCCAGTACTTTTGGAGAGGACAGGATAGAGATGGTGGTGCTCCACGCCTCCTTTGCTTCTCCCATGCTCATTTAAAATGTTTTGAATTTGAAAAGAAGTTGGTGAACTAAAGACTTAATCTTCTATAAAATAAATAAAAAGTTATTATTCTGTGTCAGTGACATCAAAAAGAGCTTTAAAATGCCACTTAAACTTGTAATTTTATGTGTTAATGGGCGAAGGCATTAAAAAAAATTAAATGGCATTAAAGTGGTATTAAATTTGATTGGCTGATTCTGCAGAAACCTTGAATTACTTTCTTTGTTTTATAAACTCACAGAAAACAAAATCTTGTCACAGATTACACCCTCTTCCATACAAGCATATTTTTAATGATTAGATGTTCTCACTGTTCACAGCTGGGTTCTTACACTCTTTATTTACACAGATCAGCCGTAACACTGACCATCCTTRAAATATTGATCCTGTTAGATATGGTTAGTTTGCACAAGTGTTTATAGTAGCATCCTTGTAAATGTGACTTCATACGTGGGTGGTCATAATGTTATGGCTGATTGGTGTTTCGCTCATTTAGAGCTACGAGGCAGCTGACACAGCTCTGTAAAAAATATGTATTGTAGTCTCAGGAGTTTAATTAAGAGATTTATGAGGTTTATGCCTGGAACGAGGTTTATGTATGAAGAGAGCAGCACAAAACGGGGAMTGGTACCATGGGAGCCCCACTTTCTGTCCCAGCGGAGCTGTAGTTGCCTCCAACAGAGCTGGCGGTCTTGTTACTGTGACCATAGTTARACAACACAGTTTAAAAGTTTGACAACTTTATTAGACTCTTGCCTGCTTATCAGCACCAGATTAGGTACTGCAGAATATCTTAAGACTTCATTAATTTGCTTCAGTGCTGAAGGGCTTTATGTTGACCTTGTTAATAATTTTTATGTTTTCMGATTGTGCAGGTTTGGTTCAGATGAGCTCAAGAAAGAGTTCCTGCTTCCTTCCATCATGGGGGATAAAGTTGCCTGTCTCGGGGTTAGTGAAGTCGGAGCTGGCTCTGACGTCTCAAGTATGTCTTTTGCTTCTACTGTTCTTTAATTACAGTGTTTTCCCCACCATTGTACAAGGAGGGTGGCCCACCCCCTAACACAACACAGCCCCCCACTCCCTCCAAAATGTTGAGGGGTTGTATTAAACATGGGAGTAAAATTTGACCTTTTTTTTCCTATTTTACTACCACAATGAGTTTTATATGGCAGGCCGTTTTTACATTTAATTGGCTTCAACACACTTAGATTCCAGGTATCTGAAATTGGTTTATGACTATTTATTAGTTATTTTTGGTATTTAAGTGAGATATATATATATAAATTGTAACTAATGTAATGTAGCAAATTCAATTGTAGACTTTTACATGTTGTGTAATTTTTATTTAAAAAAAAGCTGTTCAATTTTAATAAAGGGTACGGATGTTTCTGCTCTCGATCATCTGTGTCCAAAAGTTTAAGCTATTTTAATTCACTCTTAATTTTTTTAGAATTTAGGGGCTGGAATTGTATTGTTTTGCCTGTTCATCAACTGAAAAGTMACCTGTTTATCTCAATTGTTTCCATTTTCTGCACACTCCACTTCTGTGATTCAGGCATCATGACCAAGGCAGAGAGGAAAGGGGATGAATATGTGATAAACGGAGGAAAGATGTGGACCACCAACGGWACCCAGGCTGACTGGATGTGCCTCCTTGCCAACACCAGTGACGGACCCCCTCACAAGAACAAATCCCTCATCTGTTTACCCATGAACCTGCCAGGTAAATTACCAGTTAAACTAAAAATATGTTGTTTATTAGACACAACATGAAGCAACTCTCAWATTTGAATTTGGCTTGTTTATTTCATAATTAGTTTTTCAAAACAAAATTCCATTTCCTGTCTTTCCCTCCATAGGAGTTCAAGTTGCTCGTAAGATCGATAAAATGGGGATGTGGTCATCTGACACGGCTGAAGTGTTTTTTGATGATGTCCGTGTGCCGTGTAAGAATGTCATTGGTGAGGAAGGCATGGGCTTCACCTATCAGATGCTTCAGTTCCAGGAAGAACGGCTCTGGGCTGTGGCCAATGGTGAGRAAACTCTTCAAATAAAGTTAAACCTCTCTCCTCCTGAGATTACTGATTTTCTTTGGTTATCATTTCATCTTCCTTCTTGGTATTTTTTCTGTCTCAGTTAAAGTTTAAAAAGAAAATGGAAWGTCCAGTTTTTATTTAACTAGTATGACTCAGACTTTTCCTGGCAGATTGTTTAAAAAAAACTATTTTTAATTTAAGAAACCAAGTGTTTTTACTGAATCACATGTTGGTACATCTGTCTGTCAGGATAGCCTGCAGTCTGAGGATGTAGAAAACAACTGTCACCTTTTTTTCCTAACTTACTCCTGCAGTCATCACCACAATGGACAGCATCATTCAGGACACAATCCAGTACACACGGCAGAGGAAGATCTTCAAGCAGCCTGTTCTTTATCACCAGACGGTTCACTTCAGGTTGGCTGAGCTTCAAACGGAGGTCGAGGCACTCCGCTCCCTCCTCTACCGCGCTACAGGTAGAGATAAAAAAAAAAAAAGAGATTAACACCAGCTGGGTGATTTTTTTTATTTTTTTTACTTTCTCAATGTCTCTTTAAAGCATTAAGACAAACAAAAGTCAGTATATAACAATCAAACTTTTAATTTTTGTTTTTGAACATAATACTTTAGGGTTGAGAGACATACAATGTGTGTGTATGTGTATATATACAGGTCCTTCTCAAAAAATTAGCATATTGTTATAAAGTTCATTATTTTCTGTTGCACTGATAAACATTAAACTTTCATATATTTTAGATTCATTGCACACCAACTGAAGTAGTTCAAGCCTTTTATTGTTTTAATATTGATGATTTTGGCAAAAAGTAAAGAAAAACCAAAAAGCCCTATCTCAAAAAATTAGCATATTATGAAAAGGTTCTCTAAATGACTTATTAAACTAATCTTCTGAATCAACAAATTAATTCTAAACACCTGCAATAGTTTCCTGAGGCTTTTAAAAACTCCCAGCCTGGTTCATTACTCAAAACCACAATCATGGGTGAGACTGCTGACCTGACTGCTGTCCAGAAGGCCATCACTGACACCCTCAAGCAAGAGGGTAAGACACAGAAAGACATTTCTGAACCAATAGGCTGTTCCCAGAGTGCTGTATCAAGGCACCTCAGTGGGACATCTGTGGGAAGGAAACAATGTGTCAGAAAACGCTGCACAACAAGAAGAGTTGTCACTCAGTGATGGTCTGAGGTGCCATTTGTATTTTCTTTATACTT